CGGGCCGGGGGAGCCGCTGCGGAGCGGACAGGAGGCTTTCTGTTTTCCGGGAGGCGTGGCCTCGATAGGCGAGGTTGGCTACGTGGTTGAGCGGCTTGTCGGATTGGCTGAAGCGTTTTCTTTCCTACCTGCGGAGTTGATCTGGATACTTCACGGTTTGCCTTTTCGCAAGTCTGAGCTGCCTTAAGAGTTTCGGTAAAGTCGTGTCCAAACAGGAAGTCATCAATGGGGGCAGCCTCAGCAGCGTTCTTGCCTACGATATTCAAGGAGGGCTTTGTAAAGGCCCGCCTAGCCAGAGAGAGACGATGCTGGTGGTCTGCGAGCAAATGGATACCTTCTGCAAAAAGAAAAGGTAAAGCCGCTCTCGTTTCCTCGTCTAGGGTCTGCAAGACTGCAGGATTGAGCAGACGAGAAATATCAGACCCAAAGGCGTTGAGACAAGCGCCCACTTGAGATTGCATTAAAGCCTGGTATTCGTCTCGTTTAATGACTGAGGGGGTGAGCGCTGCCAGAAACTCTTTATTGAGTTTAGGAGGGATCAAGCCCTAGAGGTCTTTTTTAACCTCATATTTTGCTAAAAGCGCTGTCCTGATGTCCTCGACCAATTCGCTACGAGATTCCCTTTGGATCGCGTCTAAGACTGCGGAGTTCCATGTAGAAGGAAGCATGGGAGCCTGAGTCTCTCCAAATAATTCGGAGGTTAGACACTGAGCTTCTGCTGCAAAGTTAGAGGACTAACCTTCTAATGGCTCTGTGGTGGACAGATCGGCGATGGGCGTACCTTGCAGAGTGGAGGAATCTTCTTCCACGCCCCCTGAGTGCCGGAAAGAAACAATTTTGCGGAATTAATGGGTGTGAAGAAACCGTCGGTTACGATCTCTCTTTGCCAGAATATTCCAGAGACTGGGTCGCTGAGAGATCATACCTGGTTCGACGCCCCGGCACCTCTGGGAGGCCGTCGGTTCTTCAGTACCCTGCTCAGAGGCAATTGGAGAGCCTTCTATGAGCGTTGCCATTGAGGCATGCAACGGTCCGTCCGCAGGCGAACTAACCTCTCGCTCGATGGGTCGGCTGTGTACAAGCAGGTCACGCATGTGGTCGAGAAGTTAGAGGAAATTATTCCTTGTCTGCAGATTGAATACCGTGGATTCCGATGAAGAACCTCTGTCTCGAGATGACTGTCGTCTCTCTGCTGTAGCATGGCGAGAGCGATCGTTTCGAGGGCTGACCCATGGGCTGTCTCGGGAGCTATCACGCGAATAGCTTGGCGAGCGACTTCTGTGTCGAGCTCGCGACCGATCGCGGGACTTACACTTCCTCTTACTTTTGTGCGGCATGACACACTGTTAACACACGTTGTTGTCACAAAGAGCGAACAGAACGCAAAAAACATGGTGGGGCAGGCGCCACCGAAGATGGCGGGCGACAGGGGCGCCGCGCGATCCGCGTGCCTTGCCGACGGCAGTGGCGCCAAAATTCTTTTTTGTCACTTTGAATTCTGTTGTCAGAGCGCGTGCAGAGCACGACTACAAAGTTATTCCCATCCGGACGAGACCTTAGGGGGCATAATTGTAAATAATGGTCGCGTTCAGCAGACTCAACTGTTGTACAACTGTTGCATAAAAGTCTGCTGAACGCACTCCGCTCAGTAACCGATACTCAACATGTTTAGTGAGCGGACGCCATTTTTTGCATCAAACTTTTTCTCCGCTACTTCAGCTCAACATGTTGTAAAACAATATGGCGGCACACATGTGTAAGGTATAAACACGAATTCGAGGTTAGAAGTTAGAAACTTGGTAGAAACTTGAACTAGAAATTCGACATAGTTTGCGTCTTGTAATTATTAACAATTATAGTTTTGTATTCGACAACTTTTAATTACATTTTCAGATTTAGTTTTCTCCAGTTTGTTTGTCGTTCCTCCAATTTCTTTGTGAGATATTACATCCTCTACAATAGTTTTGTATATAAAAACTTGGATGTGTGATATATGATAGACATTTGTGCCTAAGAAAGCAGCTATATCACCAAATCGTTCTAAGTATCTGCGTTCGTCGCTGCTAGGTATGCCATGTACTTGCTACAATTTAAAATCAAGTGAACTAGATTCAGTTTAAAAACAAACATTAGGCAAATTATTTTTAATTAGTATCCATTTGTATGTCTGTTGATTTAATCAACTGCTTATCCTTCTCTACTTCCCAGAAATAGAGAAAGATAAACAGTTGATTAAATGACTGATTACGAATCATGGAAAATGAGAATCCTAACACTGAGACATACAGTATTAATTATATCATCAATAATGCAGAATATTCTATTACTGACACCCATGAGGTTCACTCAAGGTTACAGTCTGGTAAGTGTATAACATATTACTTATTTTTCAATTATTTTATCATTTATAACTTAGTACTTTCTATCTTTTTACCCATTATTTTATGAAGAACGTCTATATTTTAATTATATGTAATCATTTTTGTTTACAATTGGAATTTTCTCTGCGCAAATTGATTTAAGATTTATTTTACTTCAATACTGTTACTGTGTGTCAACGATTTAACAATTCAATAATTACCTTTTAGATGCGGGTTTTTTGTCGCAATATTTGGACGATAACACAACTGCTCCAATTTTGAATTCTATTGTAGATGATACTACTAACAATACAAATACTGGTATATAAATTTTTATCTAATCAATTTATTATTAGAAGAGTAATAAATATATAACATATTTTTGGTATACTTATAGGATCTGAAATAAAGAATTTTTCGTGGACTCAGCGATCAACAAAATTGCTTTTGAACAGTTATTTGGAACGTAAAGATCGTTTTCGCGATCCTAAAGTTAAAAAAAAGGTTTTGTGGACCGAAATTCTTCTAATTATGAAGGAAAATGGTTATAGTGACTTAAATGAAGATCTCCTTGATAGAAAGATGCGTAACATGAAAAAATCTTATAAGAATATAAAGGATAATAATAATAAAAAAACTAGCACTGGCCGAGGACGAATTTCATGGGAGTACTTCGATACTTTTGAAGACATATTTGCCAATGACATGACAATAAACTACAGTTCAACACTTTCTTCGATGCAAGGAAATAATGAAATAACCGCAAATGAATCTTCTCAAGATGATAATGAAGTAATCACCTTAACACAAGTTTCAGATTTCTCTAATATTTGTAATAGTTTGAACACATCTGCTACTTCGTCAATATCACCTTTTCAGCTAATTGATCAAAGTCCACTTAGCTGCCCCTCGACAAGAAGTTCCTCTGCAAGTCCTTGTGCTAGTGTAACGCAAATATCTGAACCGTTGAGAAAAGCTCGAATGAGTACGCTACATAAACTACGACAAAAACAAATTTCCATCGAAGAAAAACGCCTCGACACCATGTTACAACTCAAGTCGTCCATAGATCGAAGTAATCAAATCCAAGAAGAGAGAAACAAGTTGATAGAACAATTCTTACTTTTGAGGAGCAATCAACATGATGAAGGAAAAAAGAATACATAAATGCTACAAGTTTATATTTTCAATATAGTTCTTGTTAGAATTAACATTCAAAAGATACATTTAGTTTTTTCAATAAACAATTTTCTTTGCTGTTACTTAATATACCGTATTATCTTGCCTGAAAACGCCCATTAGTTTTGCGTCAAATGAATTCTTAATATAATATACAGTATTGTAATAAAATAAATTGAGTTAATATGTGAACATACAAAATATATTTTCAAATAAATTTTTTTTTCTTATTGTAATAAATGAACTATTTCATTTCTTTTTGTTACCGCAGGAATATTATCATTTAGTATATCTATATCATCGTTCGGTATTGCCATTGCTTCGATTGGTGCTTCATATTCGAAATTAATTTCATCTCGATCAATTAAAAAATTATGCAAGACGCACGCTGCTGCTATGATAGTATTTCCCAAAGCTGGGTCGGAAATATCTAAATATTTTAATCTTCGGAATTTATTTTTCAAAAGACCGAATGCTCTTTCGATAATAGCTCTGATCATACTTAATTTAATATTATAATTACTTTGCGCTCTCGTTAGGTGACCATTATCACGAAACGGTGTCATAAGATTTGGCATTAAAGGATAGGCAGAATCCCCTATAAGATGCATATTAAAGGGTAGCAAAGGATTTTCAGCATTATTCAATCGTGCAAACAACTCGCTCTGCCTAAATACTCGAGCGTCATGCATTCGTCCAGGCATTCCGATGAAAACGTCTATAAAACGTGCCTTGTGATCGCATACACCTTGTAATATAATCGAGTGTATCTTATTTCTATTATAAAAATCTATAGAGTTGCCTACAGGAGCTTTTATTGGAATATGGCAACCATCAATCGCCCCAATAACACCGGGAAATCCCCGAGAACGTCTTCGAAAAATCTCTTCAACATTATGATATCGTCTATCAGGCCATGTAATATAATTCGGTAAGAGGTTAGCTATAATGGTGATAACTTCTTTGAATACGTAGTGAGCAGTACTCTTGGGTAAATCAAAGCGATCTCCAGCAGCAAGGAAACTTTCCGGTTTAGATAAAATCCACAATGAAAACATAACTTTTTTTCTCAAATCCACAAGGTAATTTGGATTCCCATGTATGGAATTTCCAATTATATCAACTAGCACCTACAAAAATTTCTACAATTGATTTGAATACCGAAATTAATCTTTAAAACATACTTGTAGTTTTATAAAATTTATTATACTTACTTCAAATGTTGCACGAGACATTCTAAAATGCTCCTTAAATAAAACAACGTCGTATTGAGGAACAATAATTTCGTAATAATTACGATTTCTAGGTCTTTCATCACGTTGCCTCACTTCTAGTTCATCCAGTTCTGGTAACGGTTCGACTAATTCATTAAGCATAAGGTGCAATACGTTTATTCGGTCATTATGACCGTCATCTTCAAGTAACGCAACAATATCTAAATTCTCCATATTGCATGTATATTATCCTTATTTAATAATATATAGTAACTAAAATATATAAAAAACACAATAAAACAAAATGTTTGGATACAATGAAAATTGTTAATAATTACAAGAAACATGTTCACTTCTACCAATGTTAATTGATGTTAATCGCCATTTAATCAACTGTTTATCTTTCTCTATTTCTGGGAAGTAGAGAAGGATAAGCAGTTGATTAAATCAACAGACATACAAATGGATACTAATTTAAAATTATTTGTTTAATGTTTGTTTTTAAACTAAATCTAGTTCACTTGATTTTATAATGTAGCAAATGCATGGTATACCTAGCAGTGAGGAACGCAGACACTTACAGTATTTGGTGCCATAGCTGCTTGAAATAAGGTTATAATCGTTATATGGTCACGTGACAATAATGATCAGACCCATTCAGCAGACTCGGATCATGATCGGTGAACGCTCACGGATCCGCTCCACAACAGTTGAGTCTGCTGAACGCGACCAATGACACTTTTCGTAGTGGCTACTCTCTTTCAACACCATTAAATAAATTATTGAAATATATTAATAAATGTTTGATATATTACTGATTACGCTAATATAGTTTACTAACATTAAGCTTCATTTAAAGGTGGAGTTTCTTCATAGGTGGTAAATCATTCGAAATCACTTATGCAGATTATATTCATGTGGTAAATAGCATCAAATGACATTTTAAATTGTTTTAGAATAGAAATATTCAATTCGTACTCAATTTGTTGTAGGGTATAGCAAACAGTACGATGAAGTGTCTCAGCTCTTTTGCGAATACGAGAGAAAGTGATTTTAATGATAAATCGATTTGGCTTTTGGGACAAGCATTTCTACGTCGGTACTATATCGAGTTCGACATGAGGTACGACCGGGTGGGATTCGCCTTTAGGAATGAATAAAAAAATTTGTACTTCCTTACAAGTTTTTATAAATAAATGTGGAAAGATGTAATTAGTGACAAAAATAAATGACTTTACAGAACGATGATTTTTCTGTTTTTTACTTTATAATTTTGATTTATGGTTATTTGTGCGCGATATGTACTTACAATTAGATAAATACATAGATATGTGATTTTCTATAGTATGTAATTAGAATGTACAATATTATTTTTGTCAATAATTTGGTCAATAATTTTTGGCAACAATCTATTCTTTCAGCATAATTTTATATTGTTACATAATACATTTTATTTTAATAGATTTTATTACATTCATAATATCATGGGTACGTTCTATTTTCGTGCTCACACGCTGTAAGTATCGATTCATCCTTCTTGTCTATTAAATATTAATTAAGGGCAAATGTTGCTTATAGGCGCTTGTACAAGCGAAAAATTTATCGTTACTTTTGGAACACCTTATATACAGCGTAAAACGAAACGCACTTATGATAATACCATGTAACAAAATCTATTAAAATAAAGTATACATTCTGATCGTATGTTGTATGTTGTATTTCGTATACCGACTCTTCTATTTTATTTCAATGTAATATTCCAAGAGGTATTATTTCACATATTATAAATACTTGTCTTTTTTATACAAGTAATCTTTTTTAATAAACATAGTTCAAAAAACTGTAAACACCTTTTAGCACTAATTACTTGCAGAAATTCATCTTAATACCATGTACAGTGCCAATATACAGTATCAATGTCTTGATAATAACAAAAGAAAATAGCTGAACAATAGTAGCTAAACATTCCGGAATGTGCAATTTACATGGCATTTTCTTATCTTTTTCGCAAGAATCAATTTATCGACTCAAAGAGCCTATAAAAGAAAGGGTCCAAGTAAATACTACGTAAAATTTATTTCTTCATTCCAGTTTAATATTTTTGAGATTTTATCATTTTATTCGAGTATTAAGTTTCTTTTCTATCCATTTTTTATTTTCATCTGGTTCTCAGATCTGGAAGCAGATCAACTAGTTACTAATTTTATTATAGAAACTATAATAGAACAAGTAAAAATGAGAAAGAAAATCTTGAACAAAAGTTGCTTTACAAAAACCGCCTTGATTCCTTTCTTTTTCTTCTCTTGTTCTTTATTTTTACGAAAAAATTGGCTCAAGACTTAAAAATTAAACCGGCATGCGTTATCTGTCAAATAATGTTTGCTCATTAATATAATGACCAAACTTTACGGATGTTATATGATTGTGTCAACTTAATCTTGGCTTTAATAATATCCTGTGTGACGTGACGTTTTTCACCGTCCGTCACAAGGGTCGTTCGACCTGGCCGACGTAGCGCGGCAAATTTGTCGTGTGTCCTCCCGACGCGGAGGGCGGGCGTGCCGACGCTTGTTGCGATTTTCAGGCGAGAATTTGGAGATTTTGTCGTCGCATTTCGCGTAACATTACTATTTCTTTTTGTAAATTTGTCTAAGAATTTTTAGTATCGGCGGCTGCGGTAGGTAATTTAATGTGCGACACATTCCACCACCTCAAGGAGGCGGCCAAGAAGAAGATAGAAGACCAGACTGGAGGTCCGAGGCCACCCAGAGGAGGGGGTAGCGCACAGGTGATACCGTTCCATACTGTCAAATTAGCGCCCTGAGCAAAACGTGTTTTCCTGAAGCCGAATTCTTTACAGGCGACTATGACGT